GACACTTAAGTTCAAACTTACTTGCCAAAACTCGATTTATTTATTTATTTAACTAAAACAACAAAATCCTAAATCTCTTACTATTCACAAAATCAGTTAGTTATGCTTAAATAATAATAATAATAATAATAATAATCCAACAAAAGTAAGCTATGCACTAAAATTCAATCCGGCCATCGGTATACCTGATTAAATATAATTTTTTTACATTTCTACTTAAAAAGCTTAAAATGCATCATTTCATCAATTGGGTACCCTTACCGTTAACTGTATTTCAAGATTCTTTAAATATATCACGAAGAAAATATCAGAAATAAAATCAAAATAAAGTTCCTTGTGTAATTTGTTTTTTTTATTAGGATTCTTATGTAATAAAAAAAACTTAAAAGTAGTGGTTGTTTTCAATAATTTTTTTTATTCTAATTCATATATTTACCACAGCTCAATTTCTTAGTGTCTTCATCAAATTTAGTCTCAAGTGTATTATCAACAATCTGTCACGAAAGAATAAAAATATGATCAAAATTTTTGTAAAGATTTTTTCAAAAGTTTCATTATTTTTAACCTATTGTAATTATTTTGTTTCTTTGTTAAATCTTCCATAAAGTATTTGTTTTTTGAAATTTGAATTTTGTATGAATCGATTTCTTGCTTTGCTTTCCATTGTACAGCTTGGGATCTTGATACTTGTTCTTTTTGTCTCACTTTTACATGTTTTTTTTTTCCATATCTACCTTATAGCAGTAATAACTATTTAATAATAATATATAGTTTATGTTAAGGATTAAATTTACAGTTACTTGTCAAAGTAAACATCGTTCTGTGGTTACATGCTAAGTGTGACTGTCCTTTCGTGCATGTTTTATGTTTTATACATAACAAAATAATAAATTTCACTTTTGTTTGTGTTGTTCAATTGTTGACTCTAAACATAAGAATAATATACAAAAAGGAAATAACAGTATAAAACCTCTTGCAAAAGAAATGCGATCATGATTTGGAACAAGCTAGATTATATATATTTTTATATTATTCATCTAATAAAAACTAATTATGTACAAAATAAATGGATCACATTTTTTACTAGTTTCCTTGTGGCTTTCTTTTAACAACAACAAAAAACAAGGTTTTTAAACCATCTGTTACAGAACATTTACGGTGCTGTTTTGGAACAGTATATTTTATATATCATGGCTTACAAAAGTCTAAATATCTTCCACTAACGCTAACCTTATCAAACTAAATGTAATGCCATATAATTCTGGTAAATATATAACGAACTAAGAGGTGTATAAACGCCATTTATAGAGAAAAAATATCTTGATTTCTTATATTAGCAAACCTGTTTTTAATTGAAAATGCTTTAATTTAGTACATAAAAATTTATTGTCTGCTCTCGACTCAAACAGCATCTGAGGGTGATATTGATTCAAGTCTTAAACACAACTTGTTTGATTTATTTCACCACCACCCCCTCTCCAGTGGGTTCAATCCCTGTGGTGGGTGCAGCAGATAGTTCATTATGCTTAACAGCAAACTAATGGCATATTAAGTTTTGTAGTTTATTTCAGAACAAAACTTTATCAAATATTTCATCTAAAATATGGAAAATGGAAATAGGACTGAGCATAAATTCTCACAGAATCATACTCAGATTAGTTCGATGTTGTACTGATTTTCAAGTGGCATTTCCATCCTCAAAGTGGTTCACACTGAATTTAACTACAAAATTCAAAGTCAAGGTGAAGATTTACTTATTAAAACATCATTCTAACTGACACTAAATTTTTATAATTTCCCTGTTATCCCTTGCATACTTTTTTTTCAATAATCAGTTTCACAACAACAGTTTCAAAATTATGTTTTTTTGAAATCTTTCAATACAGGATCCCTTTGAACTTTGTCACCCTTCTTCATATAACCTCCTCAATTCTGATGATATATTAAGTTGATTTAATAATAATCCACATTGTAACCAAACACCTTATTCCTCACAAAGCAATACGCTGGAAAGCTGACTCACCAATTTGACGCAAGAACAAGCAAATTGTGTCTTCACTCAACGTGCCTTTTACTGTAATATTAGAAACAGAAACAAATTAACAAACGACACTAATTATTCACACGAAAAGTGCACACCATCTAATAGTTACTTACATAATCCAAAAATAATTGTTTTAATAACTTGGATGAACAAAAAAAAAAACTTCACATGTCTATCCAATAAACTATTACTAAAAACAGTAGAATGCTAATTTATCAAGTACACGTAAGTTTAAAGTTGAATATAATACTATCAAACAATACACGGAAATATTTTACGATATATTTCAATATTAGCTGTATATTTTTCGTGACAAGCAACCATTAAGTATTTAGTGAAGTAACTGATACTTTCTTCGAGATTTATAGACTAATGTTACTGAATGTTTTATCTATGGTGTCGATAGTAAAAGATATATACATAAGCACATGATAATTTACGTGTATCAATAGATGAAGGTTTTATTCAAGTTCCTGGCCGTGCAAGAATACACTTAACGAGGTACTGATTTATTTAGTGTATGACAAGAAAGCTTACAAATATATATATATATATATATAAATTACACATCTGCTAATATATTCATTTTGATATTATACATTTATATTAAATGGATTATGTGTAAGTATGTGTTTGTGTGTGTACATATATATATATTATGTGTTTAATAGAACTAATTACAACTACACCTCTTTATACATAAGAGTTTATTTCTTAGATCACTTAATGCCAACCCTAATCAGAATATACTTACTACAAACTGTAAGATAATATCTCATTAAGGTTTACAAATTACCCCTCTACAGCTACTGAACATAGAATTGCTGAGCTCCCACCCCCCAACCCACACACTAACTATTAGTTGTTTTTTTTTGTTCTGGTGTGTTGATAAATATGGGTTGTTTGTGTGTGTATTTCGTGTTTTTCTTTGCATAGACACCAAACCCCTTTTTTATTATTATTAGTGATCTTTGGCCTCTTAACCCTAAAATCAACAGGATTATTTCCCATCACAAGAAAAATGACCTATGAAGGTTGAATAAAACCTGCTGATTAAAGCACTAGTATATATTTCTTGAAATGTTGACATTGACCTTTAACCCCAAAATCAATAGGATTCTTGAGGCTAAATTAAAATGCTGCTGTTTAGAACTCTAGTTGCCATGCCAAAAGTAGATATCTACAGATGGATTGACAACATCTTCATTATCCCACTCCCCCATATTTTATACCGGGGGGGGGTAGTAACCTTGTCAACACTAATGAATTTGTAATATTCATCCTGCATATTCAGGTAATCATCATCAAAATGTAATACAATACGTGTTGACTTTTCTGTTCAGTTGTAGTCCAATTTGTGTGTTCACATACAGGAAGACTAGAGAATGAACCTTTTGGGTATATTACCAAGATACTCTTTAGAAAAGAAAAGAAAAAAAACACTTTATCGATAAAGTACTAATATTTCTAGGCACTATCAATATATGAAGCAGGGGGGGGGTCTATCTATATCAGAACAATTCAAAGCTTGGGAAGGCAATAAATATATATAGTCAAATTTTGTAGTAAAGAATAATGATACTTATATTAAATTTTATCTAGCTACGTTGTATCATTTCTTACCAGTTAAATAGTCTGCCAAATCACCTCCATTGCAGTACTAAAAAAAAAAAAGACAGAGTAAATGTTACTATAGTTGAAACAAATAAAATAGTTGAGACAAATAAAAAAAAGTCTTAAAACTGTCTTAATAAAACAAGATTTATATACATGTCTATTTCCTCTTGTAACAAAGGAATTGAGTTAAGAAAAAAAAAACTGTTGTAAACCCATAAGTTCGGTTTTGCATCAAAACAACAGCTGTTTCTTTCTTACGGAAACCGCTCTATCATTGTGGCATCAACAAAGACCTCATGCTGGCTGTAACCCTACTTCCTTTCCCTCTGGCGGCAAAATGTACACATAAAAATGCCAGACCCGTTTTTCTTTGTTCCTGTTGTACTCTCAATACGAAACAATACATTTTAAGCTCCACAAATACGAGAAACGGTAAAGGGGTACATGAACACCACGTGACTTTTAGTCACTGATATTTACAATACACGAGCGTGTAATTGTTAATAACGCCCTCTTTTCTGATAACTGTTTATAAAAAAAAAAATGTTTTACTAGAAACAGCTCCAACTAAGTTCATTAGTATTCGTCCTATTTCTATCTGTTTACTATCTGATAGAAATAAGCATATGTTTATAGGATGGAAAATGTTAACTTGAACGGCGCCCTATGCACACGAGTTACAGAAAACTTGGGTATAGCCGTCCCTAAGTTTGAACTACTGGCAGGAAGAAAGGCAACCAATCAGCAACACCAAACACCAATTAACCCCTGAAAACTCGTTTTTTTTTTAAACCAAAGAGGTAATCATATGGGCTTGGTGTCATTGGATTAAATTGTAGCTTTACAGTATACAAGTGAAGTTCTTGGTGTCCTTGTTTGAAACATTTAATTAAATGACAAGTGAAAACGTTAAGTAAAACGTCTAAATAAATAGATTTCTGCCCCCCTTTTGCAACATGTTCATCATAAAGACGGGTTTTTATCCTCCTAGGGTTGTGGTAGTCCGAATTCAGATAGCTACCCCAATTCACCTTTTTTATTATTTATTAATTAAATCGGCATCAAGAAAGATTGTGCTTAAGGACTACTGTTTCATCGGTAATACACGGGGTAACAAAAGGCAGGGATTCAAACCAAGTAACAGCAGCATCTGTTTGACCGACTCCCTATGAAATATCTTGTAGACCTTGAGAACAGGCAACCGACTCGCGAATACGCGTGCAAATCAGCTGATCGGTTCGTCTGCACCGAGTGCCAGTAACCTCGAGCAACGAACGGGTCACGTTTACAAAACTAAAATCAAACGCACGAACCAAAGCGGTTTTGATTCGTTACTCTTTGTTGCAAGGCTTAATTTTAGTAGGCACCACTTAAAATTGACTGTTCCAGCTTTCGTGATTACGTAAACAAAGCTAACCTCCCTCTCTCTCTTCTTTTACATTTCAGTTTAACGTGTCAATTTTTTTAGATACGATGTTATTTACTTTTGACAAATCACAACAAAAGTCCCGTTTCTTAAAACTTACAAAACATATATCATAAGGAAAACTGATGAACAGAAGTGGGAAAAAAATAATGTTGAAAACATTACATTGAAAAATCCTGAAATCTAGAGACTTCCGTGTGTGTGTCTATATATACTATCGCGATTTCGTGTAGCAGTGATAAAACGTTGTACTGACGTACAAATTTTCTGAAACTATGTGAAAAAGTTTTAAACACCTACGTTGTACGTGTAGTTCTTATAACCTCTGCCACCGAAGTGACGAACGTTATAATAACGATACGTAGTATGTGATTGTTTAAAACTTGTTCAGATAGTTTTAGAACATTTCGCGCAGAGATACATTCGTGCTTAATCCTATCGTAATTGTGAACTAAGAGACCGGAGATAAGGCACCTTGTCAACAGCACCCACCGCCAACTTTTGGCCTACTCTTCTTGTGAGATCCAATAGTGGATTTTTACCATTACTCTCACAACGCACACTAAGCGCGCTAACCAATGAGCCACGCCTGGCCCTGCTGAGATAGACTAAACTTTCCTTGCATGAATGAAGCACGACAATTACGGGATTGTCGCTGTTCTCCACATTCTACTATCCTTAGCAATAGGTAGCGGACTTCCGTGCCACAGTTCTTTCTCAACAGTGCGGAAACTTAATGTGAACTAAAGAAGTGAATGAACAGGGGGAAATGTGTATGTAAAAGTGATGAAAATCCGTTTTTTTTTTTACTATTAATGAGAAACTGACAAAAAACTTCTCCTTGAAGAGCTTCTATGGTGCATGAATAATAAAGTAAAATAAAAAACGAACATTATATTTAATATTATCTTTGCCATCTAGCGGACAAAATTAGAACTTATCTTGTCAGATGGCTGTAAAATAAAAATAACGCGTAATGCCAACAGTCTTTTCAGCGTCTATTATTGGATTCAGTTTTATCCTACAACACTACCCCCACCTCCATGAACTTCTTTGTTTCGGTGGATCTCGCTCGCGTAAAGCTACACGATGGCTATCTGCGCGAGCTGTGCCTAATTTTGAACTGTAGGCTAAAGGGAAGACAGCTAATCAACAACACCAACTGTTCGGATATTTTAGTAAGGACAAATGGTGGAATTTAACTGTCACTCGTATAAGAAACCGCGGCCCCAAAAGTGAGGGGTGGGGCAAGGACGAACGGGACGCGAACCACGAATTCTCAGCTCCACAGTCCGGCACGCTAACCAATGGACTGCACTTGCCTCAAGCTCCAACAATAACAACAACAAAAAGTCAGCATGTGGTATGAAGTTAAAGCCCGTGAGGGTGAGTTCAGACCATGCCATCCCAGAGTCAGCATGTGGTAGAATGTTAAAGCCCGTGTTAATGAACTCCTCGTGGTCTGATAGTTTAGTCTCTTCAAACCGTATATTAAATTTAAGAGCTTCTCAAAGCAATATTCGCCTCCCCTGACATAACGTGAAACTGGCGAAGTCTGGCGCACTTTTTTTTTATGCATGTGTCATTTACCATTTCCGGGCAATTTGCCCCGGGCGTCGCAAGTTGTAGACTATAACTGTAGAGATACATTTATATTAATAGCGGATTAAATTAATGGGATTATAAATGGTTAACTTAAAGTTGCCGTGACGTGAAAAGCCACAGCAGACGGAACAAACTGTCAGAAGTCTGACATTAGAGAAACTAGTTACAACGTGAGACTGAAGATGACGCACGAATGTGTCGAAACTAGATTCTCTTGTTATCAGACTTCGGACAGTTTGTTCCGTTTACTGTGGTTTTTCACAAACTGCTATACACGATATTGTGTTCTTTTATTATTATTATTACCGTGACGTCATCACTGCGCGCTGTAAGGTAAAGGCTAACTAGGAATATATAAACTCAAGTTACTTGACTCACGACACCCAATAAAAACCAGGAAAGGTGAAAAAGAAAAAGGTCGTTACGTGTGTGTGGTCCAACAACATGTTAAATGCCGTTGTACGCTGTAAGTAAACGTTTTACACTAAAAAGAGCCACAGAATGTTATGGTTGGTAGCGATTGTTCCCACGCGTCATTTAAAAAAGTTAGCGAGTACGAGTGAATGTATTCATTTAAATTCAACGTGGCGCTTATAGTGAGCGACACCTATATTTTTTAAAATTAAAATACGAACTTTGATAACCTCGTATCTGAAGTTGCTAGTAGAAACATCACGATTTCGTAACAGTGGACTGAGTTGGGATATGACTGCCACCTACATCGAGGACATTTTTAAGACTAAGATGACGACAGAAATTGTGGTTATTGCAAACGTAAGTAATTCATTTTCCCGATATAATCACACTGCAATATATTCGTATTTTTTTGCCATAATTAGCCATTGATATAAAATAAATAGAGGTGTGACTACAGTTGATAAGGGACCACAACTCAAAATTCTGCCACAGGCCTCAAAGACCCTCCTCACGTGCCTTGGTGCCTGACAAAAAGCCTCTTCGGCACTGAATATGGCAGATGCAGTATAGTTGACATGTTTATATTTTCTTCTTTGCCCATGACGAAGGAAGTTCCACCATTCGAAAGCGCTTGAGGGTTTTTACCAATTTTACTTTAAGACTTCTTGAACCTTTGACGTCATTGATATTCTTCTTTACTTCCCCTCACAAGTTCTTAGAATTACCAATGAGATATTTCGTTACTCGATCCACTCTGGGTACAATGAGGCTAGCTTGCTGGTTCGCCAGTTTTTATTAATGACGAGTAAAGCTAATTCAAATAAAAATAAATAATCATTTTAGTAACATCGATAAAATCCGGCAGGATATCAGTATAGGCAAGACGAGACCACATACAGATTAAAAGGTTACTCAAAAATAGGATGAATGCATCGGAGTGAAAAACAAAAGCCAGTAAAAACGTTTTTCTTCTTCTTTTGTTTGCAAGCTCACAATACCATGTTTTAAGTAACCAATTACGAAGGGTCTTGATTACTCGTGCCAACGAGATTGCCCAATCAAATAAAAGCTCAAAGGAAGTTTGAACTGGGTACATAGAATAAAACTTAAATTGTAGATAAAGTTTAGTATTTATCTGAGTAGTTCAATAAAAAGAAAAATAGAACAACCATTTTGATAGTGAATTGAAAACCTTAAATTACAAGTTGGTGAATGCCAAATTCTCCCAAACAACGAGCTGGTAAACTTCATATTCATCAAACAAAAAGTGGATAAAAAGTGAGTAAACCACATCGTATCTAAATGAGAAGTTGGTAAACGCTACATTACCCAGATAAGAACTGGTCCACGCCAAATTATTCAGATGATAAGTGGTGAACACCACATTTCCCAGATGGGGAGTGAGTATAAACGACATTACCCTGACAAAAAGAGGATAAACACCACATTTCCCAGATGGGTAGTGAGTATAAACGCAACATTACCCTGACAAAAAGAGGTTAAACACCACATTTCCCAGAAGGGTAGTGAGTATAAATGCAACATTACCCTGACAAAAAAGAGGATAAACACCACATTTCTCAGATAAAAAGAGG